CAGAATTCTGCAAATTCAGACACTAGTAGACACTAGTTATTTCCTAGCTGAGTTTCCCGTGCTCTTCAGTCCTCCCTCAGTCCTGGTTTTGGATGTTCAGTACTTTATGAAATGTCAAGGTCCAACAAGCAAATGACAAGTATTAAAGACCACACTGGGAGATAATGAAGCTGACCCTGAATTAATGACTACTATTATCAACTCAATGGGTGACTGATGGAACTACAGGCCACTAAAATGATTAGACTCTTAAATACTTAAAAATATTGTTCAATCTGCCCAAGAAGGAAGTTACATTTACTCTATGGCTCCCAAACTTAACTTGATTTCAAGATACCCTGTAATGAGCTACGCCAGTCCTTAACCTATACAGACCTACCTCATTTTATTGCACTTTGTAGACACTACAACTTTCACAGGGTGAAGTCTGTGGCACCCCCCCTGCATGAAACATGTCTATCAGTACCATTTTTCCAACAGCACGTGCTCACTATGTGTCTGTATCACTTTCAACAGTGCCAGTATTGTTATCATATCTATTTTGGTAATCCGTGATCAGTAATTTTGTATTACCAATTGCTACTGTAATTGTTCTGGGGCATCATGAACCATGCCCATATAAGATGGCAAACTGTCCAATAAACGTGCATAGTCTTACTACTCCCCCAATACGCCATTTCCCTCTCTCCTCCTGGGGCCTCCCTATTCTGTGAGAAACAATATTGAAACTAGGCTAATTAATAACCCTGCAATAGCCTCTAAATGTTCAAGAGAAAAGAAGAGTCAAATGTCTCTCCCTTTAAGAAGACACGTCAAAAGCTGAGATAGGCCAAAGCTGGCTCTCTTGCATCAGTCAGCCAAGGTGTAAACGCAAAGGAAAAGTTCTTGAAAGAAATTAAAAGTGCTACTCTGGTGAGCACATGAATGATAAGAAAGCAGAACATCTGTCTGTACTGTCGATATGGAGCAAGCTTGAGTAGTCTGGATAGAAAGATCAAATCAGCCACGATATTCCCTTAAACCAAAGCCTGATCCAGAGCAAGGCCCAAGTTCTCTTCAATTCTATAAAGGTTGAGAGCAATGAGGAAGAAAAGTTTAAAGCTAGCAGAGGTTGGTTCATGAGGTTTAAGAAAGAAGCTCTGTCCATGACATAGAAGAGCAAGGTGAAGTAGCAAGTACTGTAGCGAAAGTGGCACCAATTTATACAGAACTAGCTAACGTCATCGAGAAGGTGGTGACACTAAAAAGCAGATATTAAATGTAGACCTAACAGCCTTCCATTAGAAGATGGCATGCTGGACTTTCATAGCTAGAGAGAAGTCAATGCCTGGCTGCAAAGCTTCAAAGGACAGTCTGACTTCTCTCGTTGGAGGCTAAGGCAGCTGGTGACTTCGAGCTGAAGCCAATGCTCATTTACCATTCCCAAAATCCTAGGGCTATTAAGAATTATGATAAATCTAGTCTGTCTGTACTTTATCAATGGAACAACAAAGCCTGGATGACAGCACCGCTATTTACGGCATGGTTTACCAAATATTTTAAGCCCACTATTAATACCTAGTGTTGAGGAAAAAGGACTCCTTTTAAAATATTATTGTTCATTGTCAAGGCACATGGTCACCCAATAACTCTAATGTAGATGTACAAGAAAATTAATGTTTTCATGCCTCCTATCACATCTATTTTGCACCCCATGAATCAAAAAGTTACTTTGACTTTCAAGTCTTATTATTTAGAAAATTCACTTTGAAAGGTTATATTTCCTCTGATGAATCTGGGCAAAATAAATACATTGAACATCTTCTGGAAAAGATTCACATTCTAGATGCTATTAAGAATACTCATGATTCATGGGAGGAGGTCAAAATTTCACCATTAACAGGACTTTGGAAGGTGGTTTCAACCCTCATGCATGACTGTGAGGGGCTTAAGACTTCAGTGGAAGAAGTTAACTGCACATGTGGCAAAAAAAGAGCAAGAGAACCAGAATTAAAAATGGAGCTTGAATGTGTGACTGAACTGCCATAATCTTATGACCAAACTTGAATGAAGGAGTTTGCTTCTTATGGATGAGCAGGAAAAGTGGTTTCTCTTTTATTTTTTCTTTTCTTTTAAGATCTAGTGACAAACCACAAGAAAGTCATTTCTTGATATGGAATTTATTTCTGGTAAAGATGATATGAACAATGTTGAAGTGACAACAAAAGATTTTAAATTTTACTTAAACTGAGTTGATAAGCTACTAGAAGGCTTTTAGAGCACTGATTCCCATTTCCAAAGAAGTTTTAAAATTTGCATTAAATGCTATCAAACAGCACTGCATGCTAGAGAAATCTTTCATGAAAGGAAGAGATTATTGGGACAAAATTCACTGTTATGAAATGATTATAAGATATGGCCTTAGCCTCCCCAGCAACCATCAAAATTGAGGTACAATCCTCCACCAGCAACAAGATGACAACTCCAGAATGCTCAGATGATCAAAGTATTTTTTAATTAAAATATGTATACAGTTTTTAGAGATAATGCTACCACACACCTAATAGCCTACAGAATAGTATAAACATAATGCACTTTTAGATACACTGGGAAACAAACAAAAAAAAAATTGTGTGACTCACTGTATTGCAATAGTCACTATATTGCAGTGATCTGGAATGGAACCATCAATATCTCAGACTGCACAAATCTATCTTCTTATTAAGTCCTTACTTTTCATTTCACTCCAATAAACATAACTGATATACATGAAATATGAAACAGAGGATAAAAGCAAGCAAAGCCGTAAATAAGATAAAGCAGTCTATTTCTAAATTTAACTGAATCATGAAATGGTCTTTCCATCAATTTAGCTTTTCAAAACTATAAAAACATGTTCCTGACCTGCAACCATCATATAAAGTCAACGTGCTCCAAGTTAAACCTCAAAAGTCAATCCAGAATCTACCTTAATTACATAGTTTCCACATTCAAAGAAACCAATGTCCTTAAAGTTGTCCTTTGTGGATATAATTCCATAGAATTTACTCTATGAACATCTGAATTCTTTATCATACCAGACTTTATATATATGTATACATATGTGTGTGTGTGTATATATATAGAGAGAGAGAGATAATGAGACATCTTGTCAACATAGATTATTTTTGTAAAATACTCATTCACAGCACTCTTAATCGGTTTGACACAATGCATTTCTGACAAACTAATGTTCTATCGAAATTAACTGCCTTATACAGTTACAAGAATTAAATCTTGAGTATAAGCTTTTTTCCTCTGAAAATCAGGCACTGAGGGATTACCAAATTGCAATTTAATCTTTCTTGTAAATACTACTCTTCAGAGGGTATTTTTTTAATTGACAACTCAAAGCGAAATATAAGCATTTCTACATTAAAAACCCAGAGATTAGATAAAACAAACCTAGAGGTTAGATTAAAAATGTTATGTGCATTCTTTTCCACTTTTACAGTTAGAAATTGATGTTATTATCATGTAGTTTATTTCCAACTGCCTCAAACAAATGAAGGGAAATTCACATTATCAAATGTCACAGAAGCAGCAGCTTGAGACTGGAGACAGACAAAAGGAAATGGGAAGAGGAGGAGATACATAAAGCTAATGCTCATTATGCATTAGACCTTGGCCCAGCCCCTGACCCACTATAATCTACTTAGTCATTTACATCGGTAAAAAAATTAAGGGTCGAAGTAAATTGATCAGTGTGAACAGGGAATGTAAGTTCTACATCTGGTTTGAGACTTGCCAGAAAGAAAAATACCTAAACCAGAAAAAAGATCTAAAAAGCAAGAATCGGTGTGTGTGTGGAAGGGGGAGGAATGGAGGGTTAGGAAATAAAAGCTAACTGTGCTCAAGTCTCTGCACTAACGCTACTCCGCGCGTACTACAGAGACAGGCCCTTCCCGTGCGGGGCAGGAGGCGGGGGTCGTAGACGCTCCCAGCGATGCAGGGAAGGGGATAGCGGGCGCCGGCGCCCCTGGAACACGCGTAAAGTGGCTATTAACACTTTCCTCGCTGGGACCTGGGACCGGGAACTCTCGAGCTGCGCGCGCGCGGGTGGGGCAGCCAGGAGCCCTCCCCTGACTCTGGAGGGAGAAAGGAGGCAAGGGGCGGCACCGCATCCCGGTCCCCAGCCCGGGCGCATCAATTACCCGTGAGGTTCCTCAGCACCGTCCCGTGGGCCCAGAGGCTCAGGACCTGCTGCACCGACAAGTTGATCATGGAGTGATCGCCCCCCTCCGCCTTCATCTTCCCCGGGGGGCGCCCGCCGCCCTCTCCTCGGGCGCCTGGCGGCGGCGGCGTCGGCAGCTGAGGCTGCGAGGCTTGGGGGGCGGCGGCGGGTGCGCGGCTCCTCCAGGCCGCCGCCGCCGGGGGAGGATGCGGGGCGCCTGGCTAGGCGCTGCTGCTGCCACCGCCGACGGGCCTCCGTGAGGGGGCCGCTCTGCGTGTCTCCCAGGCAGCCCCCTCCCCGCCGGGGAGACATTGAGGACAGCGGACAGCGGAGGGGAGGGGGCCGGGCGCTGTCCCCGCGCGGCCCCCGAGCAAAGACTCGGGGCGGAGGAGGCCTCCGCTGGTCCCTCTCAGGAGCAGCGCCGCACCGCGGGGTCCGGACACACGAGGAGGCCGAGGTCACGCCGGGAGGCCCGGGGTGATGGGCAGCCGGCAGGTGCAGCCCTCGACCGGGCCCAGCTCATCCCCGCCGAAGGACGTGGAGACGCGGCACCGGTAGAAGGCTGCGGCG